ATTGATTCTAATTGTGCCTAGATCTTTTTTACCAGTATTAATGGAGGGCGAGGTTTTCCATAATCCTTGATTGCTCCAATAGTTGATTTAAATCTATAAATTGTTGCTGTAGTTGTTTTGATTATGGTGAATGAACATTAAAGTTTAGTGGACTTCTAGAAGTGGTGAGTTTTGATATTCCCTAATTTGGTCAATAATTACGAAAGCTTCAGTGTTTTTACCTTCTCTTCCTAAAATTATTTTATTTCTATCATAATTGCTTGGCCAGAGCGAATTAATGATATTCATAAAATAGTTGATTAGGTTGATTGGCATCATTAGTGTTGACTTGATATAAATATTTGATGACAGGCTTTGAATTGCGACCACATATACTAAAAATACAACAGATATTACACAACTTGACACAGTAGGTCCCAAATTGTTTGATGAGTTCGGAATATATACCACTTGATACCATTTTATCAAAAACAGAGCTTGATGAAACATGATTCTACACTATTGGATACAATAGACTCTACAGCTTGATGAGGCAGATTCGTTACTTCTACCTTTGATAAACAAATAATTCACTATCTGGTGTAAAAGATTCTTAAGCACTACTTGATACAATGGGTTTCACACTTGATGCAACTGATTCTAAGCTACTGTACCAATATATCATACACTTCTCGAATCAGGCTCTGTTTTATTACCACTTATTGAAATAGGTTACCATACTTGATTTACACTAAATATAATAAAATTTAATTTGTGTTAGTATTGTGTTCATCTACGAATCCCATTTTTATATAGATTTTTTGTTTTAAAATAATGTGCTTATTTACTTACTTGAAGGCTTTTTAAATCTATTATTATTGACCTAGGACCATTTTTTTGAAATATTTATGCATTTATTGTGTGATGCAAAAAATAAAATGAAGAAATATAAAATTTTTTTTATTTAAAAAAAAATATTAAAAAAATCAAAAAATCAAATTTTTTTAAAATTTAAAAAAAAAGCAAGCTCGCGAGATTATTGGCTAAATAAATCGACTATACTGCAGTGATTATATATTACAACCTTGACAATAAATAAAATAAAATAAAAAGATTATTAATATATATATTTTAATATTAAATAAAAATATTAATAAATATAACATACCTAAGTTATTGAGCTACTACTTAAAATATTACTTGGACCACCATTTGACCAATTACTTTTACTATTTGAACTACTACTTAAAATATTATTTGACCCACCAATTGAACCACCAATTGAACTGCTATTTGACTACCAACTGACCGATTATTTTAACCAACGTTAGAATTGAGATGAAAGATACCACATGGACCACTACTTGACCGGTTACTTTAAACCAACTTTTAAATTACGATGAAAAACCACTTGAACCACTACTTGGCTGATCACTTGAACCACACTTGATCGATTACTTGAACCACCATTTGAATTACGATAAAAATTATCACTAGAACCACACTTGACCGGTTATTTGAACCAAAACTTGAATTGTGATGTGAACTACCACTTGAACCACCACTTAACCGATTACATGAAAAATTTGAACCACCGTTTGAACCACACTTGATCTATTAGTTGAACCACCATTGGGACCTTAAATTAAATTTGCTATAGGTTTTTTGATACGTTTGGGCGATTGTTTTTCAGATGCTGCTTATATTTTTCCTGATGACTAATGATGGTTATTAGTATATGTTTAAAATTAATTTTTAAAAATAATATTATTTTACATACCATTTTCTGTCTATAAATTATTGTTTAGGTGTACTAATACCGAAATTTATAAGACCAATGTCAAAACATGCTGTGAAGAGAGCGAAATCTATTGTATTAAAAAAATAAATTAATAATTTATAAAAAAACTATAAAAAATAAAAAAAATAGAAAATATAATTATTTACCTTTAATGTTTTTAAATGTACCTCGAATTACTTTATATTGGACCAATAACTTTTAATTATAAAACTTGGCGTAAGGAACCATAGTGTTGTTCTGCATGGTGAGACAAAATAATAGCTCTAGAGTTTTCAATTGAACGTGGAGTGATTTCAATGAAAAAGCTGCTGTTAGACTCAACGGATGAGATAACGGTAATTTGAGATTTGAAAATCTCAGCAGCGGCGAGTAATGTTAAGTGGTCTCCCCATGTACCCCTTCTTGCCATTTGGTTACAGTACTTATACCAGCTGGTGGCATTGGCAAATTCGTATATTTTGGCACCATTTGGAAGGGTTAAATTTTTGTTTTTCATGAGCCATGTAACAATAGCTCTTCTAATTTCCATACTATGGTTTAAATCGCCATAAATTTGGTCAGATAAGGCATGCATCTGACAATTGCCATCACCTGGGATGACTGTACGGTTCTCTAAACCGTAGAGCTCCAAACGTTCATTTAAACGTTTTATAGCTTTATCTTGTGGTGGTGGTTGAGGAGTATTGACTGTCCCTGAGTCAATATCCATAGATCCATAAAATTGATTTTTATTATCAATAATATGTGTGGTTGTGTTTGATTGTGGTTGTGGTTCTTCTTGTTGTAGCTTTTCATATGCATCCATAGCTCTAAATAATTTTTTATAATCAGGTATTGATGCAGTATGTTTTGGTTGTGGTTGTGGTGATTGTGGTTGTTGGAGTGGGATTGGTTGTGATTGCTGGAGTGGGATTGGTTGTGGTTTCTGGAGTGGGAGTGGTTGTGGTTTCTGGAGTGGTTGTGGTTGATGGAGTGGTTGTGATTGCTGGAGTGGGATTGGTTGTGGTTTCTGGAGTGGGAGTGGTTGTGGTTTCTGGAGTGGTTGTGGTTGATGGAGTGGGAGTGGTTGCTGGAGTGGGAGTGGTTGATGGAGTGGGAGTGGTTGTGATTGTTGGTTTTGTTGTGGTTGTGGTTCTGGAACTTCTGGTGTATTTTGTTGTGGTGGGTTATTTTTTTTATGGAATTCCTTATAAAATTCGTCGTCGTAGAAAAAGTCCTCGACGTTTTCGGTTCCATCTGGGTAGTAGCATTTGGTGGTGTTATTTCTGGTTTTTCTAAAAAACCAATAAAAAATGAACAAAGCAATAAAACAAATTACAATAGTATACATTTTTTATTAATTTGCAAAATGAAAATACTATTTAAAAATCTAAATAAAAATAAATAACTGTTATTATATTTTTAAGGATGTGGATATATAAAAAATAATTTATTTAAAAATTTTTTTTTTTTTTTTAATATAATATACAAATAAAATATATAAATAATTATTTACAAAATAACAAAAAATAACAAATAATATAATAAAATAATTTACAAAGAATATATTTTTTTTTTTTTTAAAAATAATATACAAATAAAATATAATTACTTACAAATAAAAAATAATGTAATAAAATAATGATTATGCTATGAGTGAAGTTGTATATAAAAAAATAGTGTGTGTGTGGTTATTAAAGCTATATTTTTAATAAAAAAAAAAAAAAAAATTTTTAAATATAATTTAAAAAAATATAAAAAAATTAAAAAAATATAACAAATTAAAAAACAATATATTAAATAAAAAAAAATTATAAATTACGAACTTATTTTTTATACAGATTACCATATAATCAACTAAAATAATAAAACTTTTATCTTTATAAATAAATTATTTCAAATTTTAAAGAAAAAACATTTTCCCAATTAAAGGCAGTGCTATCTGGTTTTACAATATTCAGATAAAAATTCATCAACACTTTTTAACAAAAAGAGTATTAAGATGAATTTAATTTTTTTACTATTGGTAGAATCACATAATATATAAAATAAATAATAAATATAATAATAATTAATATTAATAATTATATAATTAAACAAGTATAATATTTATTTAAATATGGATAATTTAGAAAGATTAAGATTTTTAAATGGCCTATAAAATAGATTAAGCAGATTTCAATCGCTAAATCCAGATTAGCAACTACATTCAATACTTTAAATCAAGCCAAATGGGTAATTGAACCACACTAATCTAAACAGTTTTTTCAATAATATTAATAACTATAATATAAAATTAGAAAAATACTATATAATTCTTTAAATTAGAAATCATATACTTAAATTATTTAATTACATAAATAAAAAAATAAAAAAACAATAATTTTTAAAATAAAAAAATGATTTATTTTTATATATTCTTTTATTTTTTTTACCTCTTTTCTTTTCTTTCATTTTTTTTGTAAAACTATTCCTTTACTATTTTTTATTTTCATTTAATTCATTTTCTTATTAATTATAAATTTTAAAATTATTTTTTAAAAGTATAGTTATAATGTTGATTATTATTTCATACTCTTAACAAATAAAATAAAAAGAAAAAAATTTTGATTAAACTTTTTTTTTATTCTTTAATAAAATTTAAAAAGGAGATTACTTTATTAAAATTATATTTATAATTAAAGATGGATTACTTATAGTTATTATTATTATTATTATTATTATTATTATTATTATTATTGTAATTATTTAATTTTCCACCCTCTACTGTTTTGGCAGAAACAAATTTCATTCTTCTTTCGCCACCATCTCTATTATAACTATTGTTATGGTTTTGATTGTAATGGCCATTACCCCTGTTATGTTGATTGTTGATATGATTAAATTTATTATCCCTATTATATGGAGGGTTATTATTAAATTGTTGGTTGCCATATTGAGGGTTATTATTGAATTGTTGGTTGCCATATTGAGGGTTATTATATTGTTGGTTGCCATATTGAGGATTATTATTATTATATTGTTGGTTAAATTGTTGATTGCTATATTGAGGGTTATTGTTATATTGTTGATTACTGTACTGACTAGGTTGGTTAGAATCTCTATAATTTCCGTTTGTATTAAATTGTGGGTTGTTGTTATATTGTTGATTATGGTTCATATTGTTCATATTGTTCATATTGTTCATATTGTTCATATTGTTCATATTGTTCATATTATTCATATTATTCATATTATTCATATTTCCTATATTATTGTTATTATCTCTATAATTATCTCTATTACTTGGTTGATTATTGCTATCACTTCTATTATTACCATTATTAAAACCACCTCTACTATTTCTTCTAAAACCTCTGCCACCTCTACCACCTCTATTACCCCTATTACTATTAAAGCCACTTCTTTCTCTTCTAAAAGTTGAGTTCTAAATAAAATAAAATAAAATAAAATTAATAATTTATTTTTATAAAATAATTAAATTAAAGCATTTTAATAAATTAACTTACATTCAAAGCTATTTGAATTAAATCAGATGAAACATATTGATTTGCCCCTTCTAAATTTTTAACTAAATCAGCAGCAAAGTTAACATCTTTTGGTGTGATGAGGGTGTATGCATCGCCTTTAGCACCAGCTCTTCCTGTTCTGCCAATTCTATGGGTATGAGATTCTATATCTCTAGATGGGTCAAAATTGATAACATTTTTAATTAAAGGTATATCCAAACCTCTAGCTGCGACATCGGTAGCAATCAAAATATTTACTTTACCCTCTTTAAAGGTTTGAATTGTTTGGGAACGTTCATATTGATTCTTATCACCATGAATTGAACAAGCTAAATAATAAATTAAAACAGTGTTATAAATACATAGTAATGGTACCATTAATTGATTAATATTAAATACATACTTTTAAAACCAAAATTGGTCAAGTTTTTAGATAACTCTTCGACAGAGGCTTTCATTGAAACAAATATTAAAACACTACCTTGATTTAACAAATTTGGTAAATTATCTATTAACCAACTCCACTTTTCGCTTTCTGATTTTAGTACTTGAACAATTTGTGTGATATCTGAATTTGCACTACCAGCTTGACCGATCGATATTTTAATTGGGTCTGTTAATATGGATCTTGCAAAATCTTCAACATTTTGTTTAAAAGTAGCAGAGAATAATAGTGTTTGTCTATCTGGTCTAACATGGTTTACAATAGATAAAACTTGTGGTCCAAATCCAAAATCAAACATTTTATCTGCTTCATCTAATACTAAATAAGTTACACGGTTAAGTTTTGTTGCTTTTAATTTAATCATATCTATTAATCTACCTGGTGTCGAAACTACAATTTCACATCCTGCTTTTAATTCTTTACATTGTTGTTGTTTTGATACACCACCATATAAAACAGTTGTTCTAAATGAATTATAGTAATAATTAGTATTATATTAAATTAATATATGAGTGGAATAAATTGTAGTTTTAATCTACCTTAATTTAAAATATTTTGAGTATTTTAAAGTTTCTAAATAAATTTGTTGAGCCAATTCACGTGTTGGTGCTAAAAATAACGCTATTGGTCCATCTCCTTTTTCTAAATAGGGTTGATCCATAATATGGGGAATTGAGGGCCAGATGAATGTAGCAGTTTTACCTGAACCAGTTTTAGCAATTGCAATTAAATCACGACCAGATAACGCGATTGGAATGGCTTGTTTTTGAATTGGTGTAGGGGTATCGATATTTTGTTTTGATATCGCTTGAAGCAGTAAATTTTCAAAACCATAATGACCAAATGAGGTTACTGGATTGACTAAATCACTCCCTTGAATTCTAATATCCAATTCTTTTCTAAGTTCAAACAATTTTTCCTCTGTTAAATTTGTAATTTCTTCGTGTTCATCATAAAAATATTTATTAAACTCTATATACTTTTCTTTTGAATGATCAATTGGTGGTAATGGTTCAATAATCTTTTTTCGTTTACTTTGATTCTTTAATGACTCTTCATCATCAAAATATTCATCATCGCTTAAAAAAAATAAAAAAAGATTAGTATTTAAATAAAACATAAGAATGAAATATTTATCAATACATACTCGTCTAATGATGAATAATCAAAATCATCCTCTGATTGTTGTTGGTGCTGCTGTTGTTGAATAGTTGGTTGTTGTTTTTGCTTTTGTCTTAATTTATAAAATGCTTCTTCATCATCTTCGTAATCTATATCGTCTCTCTTTGATAGACTCTTTATAATGTGTAAAAATTTTAAATTAGTAATGCCCAAACTATATTTATAATGTGATATCTAAATTCACACACGATATAAATATATGCAGTGAGTTGATATACCAATTTAAATATATAAAAAAATAAATACTTTTTGTAATTGTTGAAGTGGTTGTTGACTTTTTTCAATAGCTTTACTTTTATCAATCTCTGCTTGTTTATTTACACCTTCCATAAATGCATCCAATGGATCAATTTCATCCTCGCTATCCTCATCATGTTGTTGCTGTTGTTGTTGCTGTTGTAGTTGTAGTTGTAGTTGTTGTTGTTGTTGCTGTTGTTGTGGTTGTTGATTCGTTATATTTTGATTTTCATTTATCTTTTCTTTATTAAAATTTGCTGGGGATGCTCTATTATCATCTTTTTCATCATCCTGTTCATTATCAAAACCAAATGGTTTTATTATTCTCTTTGGTGGTGGTTTAAAGAATTCTTCTTCATCATCATTATCATTATCTTGAATAAACTTTGATTTTAAACCTATGCTACTACCACCAGATTTAGTACCACTACCCATATTGAATGCATTAAAACTAATACCTGTAGTACCACCTGCAATTGAATTTGGTTTTGGTATTGATGATGTTGCACTTGTACCTGCTATATTACTTGAAAATGAAATTAATGGTCTTTTGGGTTTATTTTCTTCTTCATCATCATTTCCAAATGCACTTATTCTCTTTGACATTATTAACTATATTTTATTATTAGATAATATTATATTATATTTATTTATCTATTATCTGGATGAATGATTATTTTAAAATAAAATTTAAAAATACAAAAAAAATAAAAAATGTAAAAAAAAAAAATAAAAAAAAATAAAAAAAATAAATAAAAAAATAATATTTTTAAATTAAAATAATATATTTTTTATTTACGATATATCAATGTAAAAAGGAAAAAAAAAAAAGAATTAACCAAATTTAGAAAAAAAAAAAAAAAACTATGGTTTGTACTATTTTAATATTATTATTTTATTTTAAATTTTTTTACATAAAGTCATCGAAATCATCATAGTTTTCGAGTTCGCTGCCCATTTGGAGTGATTTCTTGGCAGTGGCTTTGGTTGTCTTCTTTCCTTTTCCTGCTTTTTCATTTTTAATTTTTTCGTTAATAACAACAGTTAAAGCTTTTGAAATATCGTTTAATTCATTTGATGGAACATTAGCTAATGATTTTTTAATTAAATGTTTAAAGAAACTAGCATAATGAATTGATGACTATAAATAATAATAAAATGAGGAGGAAGGGAGTTATACATTAGTACTAATGCCCATTTATACTTTTTCTTTTACTTTATAATAAATATATATATAAAGATGATATATTAAAAACTTACATCGTATTTAGTTAAATAATCAGAAACAATATCAGCATATTTTTCAAATTCCTTTTCAGTTTTTGGGACAAATGAACCAATTGGTTCAGATGGGGTGGTTTCTCTAACTGAAACACCAGAGAAAAGAGTTCTACTGTTTTCTAAATCTGCTGCTTCTTGTAATTCCTTTCTTCTCTTTTCTTCCATATAGATATCAAATTCTGAAGCTGGGTTATTTCTACTTTCTTTTTCTTCTTTTTCTTTTAATTCAATAGCTTTCTTTAAAGCTTCTTTCTTTGTTAATTGTTTAACAGCTGGTTTTTCTGGTTTCTTTTCTTCAACTTTTTCTTCTTCAACTTCTTCTACTTCTTCTTCGTCATCCCAAGCATCTTTTAAATCGTCAACGGCTCTACCTTCTTCAGCCCATTGTTCTTTATTTAATTCACCTAAAAATTAAAAATAAATTTTAATTTTATAATTAATTATCTTGTTGTTTTTTTTTTTTTTTTGTATAAGTGTTATTTAATATATTTGTTTATATTTATTTTACTATTCCTCTTTCATATGTTATATTATAATTATTTAAATAATATATTACATACTCCAATCACTCATTTTTTTTTTTAAAAACTAAAAGTAAATGAAAATAATTTTTATCGAAATAATTTTTTAAAAAAACTAAAAAAAAAAAAATAAAAAAAATTTTAATAAAAATAAAATTTTTTTTTTTAAAAATAAAAAAAAATTAAAATTATTTTATATTTATTTATTTATTAATATAAACAAATACACATATACTCAAATAATTATTTATAAATATAAATAATATATTATAACAATAAAAAAATATTTACACACAAAAAAAAAAATCTATTTTTAATATTAAGTTATGGAGAAAAATTTTCTTTAAGTTTGCTTGATTATTGAAAAGGCTTTTGAGAAACAATCTGAAAAATTTAAACTTAAAAAATATAAACCAAAATTATGTATCTGGGTTATGGAGAAATTTATAACCATGTTACAAAATTTTTTTTTAAAAAAATGTGTTTTGTTATATAAAACAGTTTTTTTAAAAAACAGAGTTTTCTTATATAACACAGTTTTTTAAAAAAAATGGGTTATGTACATAATTTTAATTATTATTTAGACCCTTCTGCCAGATAGCTATCTTATTTTCAATTATCCATTTTTTTTTTTTTTTCTCCAATTTACAAAATTTTTTTTTTTAATTTAATTTTTTTTTTTTTTTTTGGAAAGAAAAAAAAATATTTAAACTCAAATTCAATTCTATTTTTTTCATTTTATTTGTTTTTTATAAGCCACAAACAAATAATTTCCTCCTTCATTCCTAGCATCGCGTGCCTTAATGTTTTTATATATTTATGGCCGCCAAATGTAAATGGAGAGAGATAAGGTATTTATTTATTTATTTAAAAAAAAACATAAAAAAATTTTATTCTAACCATTTATTTTTTTCAATAATAACAGGTTTCCGGCTATATATTATATATAGGCGGCCTTAACAAAAGATCCCTAAAAGAATACTTGTGTACTTGGCTCTGGATTGCTACAGCTTGACCATGGTCTCTGAAAGCACAGATAAGCTAGGTCCTTGTCATGTTCCTTCAGATTTATCCTGATTTCCCTAGATAAAGGTTAATTGCGGGACTCTGAATGATACATACTATTCATTGATCGCTGTTTATGCGAATTGATCGTTATTCAATGATTATGCGCATTGATCGTTTATCACTGATTATTCGGAATGATCGTTAATCACTGATTAAGCGCATTGATCGTTAATCTCCGATTATGCGAATTGATCGCTGATGCTTTTTAGCGACAGTTATATAAAGATTTCTGAATTTTTTTCTTATGGGTCCGTGGATCGCGAAAGTCATATTAAAATCCAGAGGAATTCCCCCATACCAATTAAAAATAAATCATTCTAAATTATATGGAATGGGGAACAAGAGCCCTGGATTTTTTTCTTTCCTGATATCATGCATGATGGTTGCATCGGGGGTAAGTTTTTACACAATATTATTTACATAATTAATATAACTTTTTAAATTAATGCGTTTTTTTTTTTTTAAAAAATAAATAGGTTTTCTTCACTGTTTTTTATGTAATGCAAACTGTTATTTATGTAATGCAGATTGTTATTCATGCAACAGGAAGCTGTTATTTATGTAATAGAAGCTGTTATTTATGTAATAGTAACTGTTATTTATGTAATGCTAACTGTTATTTATGTAATGCAAACTGTTATTTATGTAATGCAAACTGTTATTTATGTAATGCAACAGCGGAGTTCTTTTCCTCGATTTTTTAAAATGGTTTTGGGTAATCGTCGCTCTTTTCCCAGGGACCGGCGCACCCACTCTACTCATCGAACGTTCATCTCCTTCGATTGGCGATACTCGCTGATCGATTCAAAATAGGCATCCCTAAAAGTCCTTTTTTTTATTAATTAAATAAACTTTAATTATTTTTTTTTATTTTTTAAAAATTTTTTTTCTTTAGAAATTATAATATTTAAAAATTTACAATAAATTTGCAATATTTTATATTATTCACTCAATCCTTTAAAATTAAATAAACATTAATATATAAAATTCTACTTCAAACCTATTGATACACCAAAATACATTATTTCAACATAATGCATAATCTTTGGTGGTAGAAAAAGGAGAATGAAATAAAAAAAAATAAAAAAAAATCTGATGATAAAGTATTTTCCATATATTTTTGGCTGGGTCTCTAAAAAATTATTTTTTTAATATATATATATCTTTTATATATTTTTTTTTTATATTATAAAATTGGTTCATAAATATAAAAAAGATAAACGTTTAAGATTTATTAAATAAAAAAATTGTATTTATTTTTTTTAAATTTTTTTTTAAATTTTTTTTAAATTTTTTTTTTTATGGCAGGTTAAATATTTTTGTGAAGATAATTAATTTTAAATTGAGGTGGTTTCACAAAATATTAAAATTTTTTGATCAAAATACCAAAAATAAAAAAGTATTTTTTAAAACAAAAAATAATTTTTTATTTTTGGTATTTTGATTAAAAGTTTTTAATATTTTGTGAAACCACCTCTATTTGCAATTATTTGAATTCTTTTTGGATTTGATTGATATAAATTATCAATAATATCTAGTTCAATTTCATACCAAGTATCACCAACAAATTCTTTAAAATCTTCCATAATATTGCTTTGAAGTTTGTGAATTAAAAGTCTTTTTAACACTGACAATAAATTTTCAATAATGTTGAGGCCTGGGGAGTATGGTGGGATCCATATGACATCAAGTCCATATCTTTGGTAAAATTGTTGACAAATTTCAGCTCGATGAATTGATGAGTTAGATCTCACACTTGGTGAATATGACTTTTATCTTGAGGATATCTATTTGCAAAAGATAGATATCCTCAAGATAAAAGTCATATTCACCAAGTGTGAGATCTAACTCATCTTCCAGTACCTCTATATATGTTTCGCTGTCAGTATTACCATCAATAAATGTCATATAACCTACACCTCTCGAAGTAACGCAACTCCATGCATTCACAGAAACTCCGGTTGACCTCTTTCTTGATAGAATGTTATTTGGAAGGTATACCTTGCAGATGAAACTAGAATTGAACGATTTCTCAAAAATGGAAGATTGAAAAAGGGTAATTTTTGCCGATGAAACAAGAATTGAACGATTTCCAAATTAACCCATTTTTGAGAAAATCGTTCAATTCTAGTTTCATCTGCAAAAATCACCTTTTTCCAATCTTCCACTTTCCAGTCTCTATATTTTATGGCCCAATCATATCTTAGCTTCTTTGAATTTTTTATGAGATAATGCTTACATTTCAAACTTTTAAGCTGCAACCAATTATTTGTGCTTTTTTTGAATGGCTTAAACCCTCTTCATGAAGTTTTAAAATCATCTCCTTTTTTAAACTGATAATGTCATTTTATTTTATTTATTATAGTATTATTAAGATATAATATTATTTTTATTGAAAAAAAAAAATAAGAAAAATAATGAAAAAAAAGAAAAAATTAATTTTTTCAAAAATTTAACCCACCTTTTTTTACAAGAAAAATAATTAAAAAATAATAAAAAAATAAAAAAAAATAAAATGAAAGTATTTTTAAAAAACACATTGTTTTTTATGTATATTTACCCTTTAATTGATATATTGAAATAAAAAATATAGGATTTACACAATAATTAATAGTATGGACCATACCCAGTCAAAAACATATGGAAAATACTGTAATATTTAATAAAATAAAAGTGGGTGAAAAAATATATTATGGTGGTTTAATTATTTTTTTTTATTTATAACATTGGATGAGGTTTTCTCCAAGAAAAATAAGAATTAATAATCATTGAAACTACTATAGATAAATAACCAGATAATAAAGCTCTAGACCATTCGGAAACAGACCAATAGGGTATTAATGGTAATGCACCAATTATAATTGCAATTACTACAGCACTACTTCCTTCGAAAGGTGTTAAACCTGGGAAACTTGTCATTGCTGCTCTAAGTCCAACTCTAATGGCTGCTATTGATGATAATAAGAATGCTGTCATTGTTAAAATACCACCAGTACTTTGCGCTAATCTTTTTGCTTCTTTTAACCATATATACAATGTTAGTGATACCACAGTTCCCCAAATGCCCAATGCAGGAATATTCATTTTATATCCTTGACACTTTGCAGTTGTGACTGATAATAATCTTTCCACTGTTTTATTATGTGCTAAAGTTAAATATAACATTCTAACATAAATGATACTAAATAAAATACTAACAATACAAAATACCATTCCCCATCTAAAATAAAAGAAATAATATTAATAAAAATATTATATAATACCTATCATTGATATGTTGTAATTACTTTTGATTAATTTTTGTAAATGATAAAATGGTTTCTAAAATTGAAGATAAAGTTAAAAGTAATTGATAAGATCTACTAAACGTTAGTTTTACTCCTAGAAAAGTTTGCATTCTACTCGATATTTGAATTACACCCAAAAAACCAATCACTTTACCAACCAGTTTAACAACTTTATCAAATATATCATTTCCTGAAATCTCTTTTATAATATTTTCTATATCTTTATTATTGCTATTTATAAACCTGTGCTTTGTTCCTTTTAATAGTTTAAATATATAATAGGTTGTTAATGGAGGTATCGATATTGCACCTAGCTATAAAAGAAAAAAAATGTAAAATTAATAAATTATTATTAAAACAACACATTTATAAGAATGATACTTACTCTTGATGAGGTGTTTAGTTTCTCCCACACAGACAATAAATTTGATTTACTATTATTTACATTGAATTGAGGTAAAACTTTCAATGATTGTGGCGTCATAAAATGACCTCTAAATATTTTTTGTAAAATTAATAATAATGTTGGTTAAATTTAGTAAATATTAAATATGGTTTTAAAATAGGTTATCCAAAAACATACTGAATTTGCTTTAATCTTCTATGGGTAGTTGCATATGGGTAATCCATGTTTTTTGTTTTTGTTTTTTGTTTTTTTTGAAATTAAAAAATTTATTTTGCTTAATTCATTCAATTACTATTACCCTGTTCTTTTCTTCGCTTTTACACTAATTTCTTTTTATTGCCTATTTTTACATTAAATTTTATTAGTTTAAATTATAATGAAAAAAAAAAAATGAAAAACAAATATAATTTTAAAAAAAATAAAAAATAAAAAATAAATATTTAAAAAATAATTAAAAAAAAAAAAAATAAAAAAAATAAAAAAAAAGTAAAAAATGAAAAAAAATAAATTTAATATCTTTACTCAAACGAATCTATTTATTTTGGGCTGTCGTTCCAGCGATAATTTATTTTACACAAAAAATTTTTATTATTTTGAACTGGTTAGTTCGATTGGTGTTTGTTGTTTTTTATCTTTGATGGTTTCGTTGGCTCCAAATGATAATAATAGGTTAACAATTTCTTTATGATTTTGTTTATATGCTTTGTGTAATGCTGTCATCCCATCAGAATCTTGTTCATCAATTTTTGCATTGCATTCTAATAATAATTTGGTATTCTAGAATTTATAAAAAAAAAAATAAAAAAAAAAATTAATAGTTTGTTTATATATTTTAAAATTGAGATTTAAACTTACTTTTAACGAACCACAAAATGATGATCTGTGTAATGGTGTTGCACCGCCTTGAGTTTTACAATTTACATCGGCACCATTATCCAATAATAGCTTTACAATATTATTATTACTATCTGATCTAACTGCATAGTGAAGTGGATAATATCCTGATGAATCTACTGAGTTGGCTAGTGATGATTTTTTATCTAATAATTGTTCTACTTTTTTATAATCTGAATTTATAATTGATCCCCAAATTCCTCTTTCGAAATTTAATTCATCCAACGACTGAGTTACTGAATCTACTTGATGGTGGTTGCATTCGTGACCACATTCGCCATTGGGTTTATGGTTATGATGGTGATTCATATCATTTAATATATTATTGGTTTGTGTTGTTGGTTAAAAAATGGTAAAATAAAAAAAATTTGAAAAAATAAAATAAAATTAAAAAAAAAATTTTAAAAAAATAAATTAAAAAAAAATAAAAAAAGAAATAATATAAATGGTAATAAACAAATATTGAAAGTCTTTTATTTTTTTATATTTTTTTACATGATATTCATTATTTTGATTAGATGGGAAGAAATTATTGTTATTATAGTATAATTATTATTAATATTTATTTAAACTATTTTATTTTTAAAAACATTAATCACATTTAAATTATCACCACCGTTGATTGGACGACTATTGATTATTTTTATTGGTTTCCATTTGCTACAAGAAGAATTTTCATCTTCATTACTGATATCATCTTCTTCATTTTCATAGTTGTTATATTCTTCTTCATTTGTATTTCTGACCTGATTCTTTATCTTATAGTTTATATTTTCTTCATCGCTATTACTGCTACTGCTATCACTTTCGCTATAATCTTTTCTAATTTTTTGTTTTTCCAAAAGTGCAGCTATTGGATTTGTTGATCTATTTTTTGAGAATGGATTGCTTTGGAATCTATCAAATCTATTATAATTGTTATTATTATTATTATTATTATTATTGTTATTATTATTATTATTATTTTCTAATTCTAAAAGTTCTGGTTCATCCTCATCATATATTTTAAAAGTTGAAAACTTTGATAATGTGTTAGAATAGAAATCCATCATAATATCTTTATCTTTATTATCTTTAAGCTTTTCCTCTTCCTCTTCTTCTTCTTTTTCACTTTCTTCTCTTTCAATAAAATGTTGTTTTTCATCAATAAATTCTTCATCGATTGACAATTTCATTTCTTTATTATTGATTAAATTATTATTATTATTATTATTATTATTATTATTATTATTATTATTATTATTATTATTAAAGTTGTAATTACTAAAAACATTTTTATTAATACTATTATTTTGATAATTAATATTATTTAAAAATGGTGATGATGTACTATTATATATATTAGTTTCATCATTAAATTCTAAATAGTTTAAATAAATTAAAATTAGTAAAGGATAAAAAAATATATTATTTGTAAATAAAATAATTACTCTTTAAAGGTCTATTTAAACTATTGTAGGAACTTTTAAATAAACGAGGTGACATTGAATTCCTTGAAGGTAAGAATGATGATGAAAATATACAAGGTGATGTTGGATTTGAATTATTGTTATTGTTATTTTTATTATGATTTATATTGTTATTGTTATTGTTATTGTTATTACAATTTTTATTAAAATTAAATATTTCATTATCAATTTCGGAGTCTGAATCACTTTCATTATTATTATTGTTGTTGATATTGGTGCTATTATAATGGTTATGGTTACTATGATTTGAATCCTTGTTTATATTACTGTCGTCATCTGATAAGGAAGAAGTGTAATTATGTAGAAAAGGGTTATTTAAAAAAGGTAAATAACTTGTTGATTCTTTTTTCTCGTAGTCATACCTAAAACTATGAGATCTATATATATCTTCATTATATGTACTATCCAAATTGGTATTTTCCAATTTTGGGCTTGATAATTCTTTTTCTATGTATATTGTATTGGTAGAGCTGAAACTAATATTACCACTGGTTTTTAAATTATGACTAAAATTACATTTATTATTATTATTATATGTTGGAGTATGGGGCTGTATAGACTGGCTAATGTTTATATCATTATTATTGTTTGTGTTATCATCTTCATAATCATCAATGTATTGATCATCACCTTCTTCTAAATAATCTGTAAATCTTCTTTTTTTAGGAGTTCCAGGGAACTCTGAATTATTATTAATATTGTTATTGTTGTTGCTTTGGCTATTTAGATTATTACTCGAGTTATTTATATTGTTTATATTATGAAAATTTATAATTTTAGGTACAATAACTGTTTGTTTTTTATTTAATATTTCATTGTGATTCTGATTTTCATTACTATCTAAATTATTATTATTATTATCTATGTTATTATCTATATTATTATCTATGTTATTATCTATGTTATTGTTGTTATTATTAATATTATTGTTGTTTTTATTATTTATATTATTATTTATATTTTTATTTATATTATTATTGTTGATGCTTGAAGCATTATCTTTTATTGAACTTTTTGAAAGTTCCATTGGAAAGAAAATAAATAAAAAAATACAATTATTCATAAATAATTATGATAATAATTAAAATGAACCATATTATAACAATATATATGTATAAAATTTAAGTAAATAAATATATAAATAAATATTGATATTAAAAAATATTAAATTTTGAAAAAATTTTTTTTTTTTTTTTTGAAAAATTTAAAAATAATAAATAAAAATTTTTTTATTATTTGTTATTATTATTTATAAACTATATTAAAAAACAAAGTAGAAAGGATTTTGAAGGTGTTGTGATTAAAATTGTGAAAATAATAAATATTAAGTTGATATGAAAAACTTTATATACAACAAAAAATACCTCTGCTTTAAAAAAAAAAAAAAATTAAAAAAAAAAAAAAAAAAAAAAAATTTTAAATATTTTTAAATTTTTTTAATTTTAAAATAAAATAATAATATTTTATTATAAAATTTACAATTTAAATATAAAGATGTGTATATATATATACAATTATTATATAAAATTATATTAGACATTATTTAAACACATACCATAAAGTTACAATTATAAATACCTTTTTTGTGTTTGTGTATTTTTTAAAATTATGCTAATAAATAAAAAATTATATTTTACACTTTATACAGTATCAATTGATTTTTTTTTCTAAATTTATATTTAATTTATTTTATGATTTTTTTTTTTTCCTTATATAATTTTTTTATTTTTTTTATTTAAGGATAGGTTTCAATTTGTATTTTTTTTTTCTTTAAATGGGTTTTTTTTTTTTTTATTTTCTTTCGATGCTTCGGCTTCTGTAAGTCATGTCATTTGGTGAACCGGTTTTTAAAGCTTCAATAATTACAGCCATTGGATCGTCTGTATTACTAATTTTAAGACCAAAACCTTTTTGTGATAATCTTTTTGATGGTGATTTTTTGAATGCTGTAATAATTGTGCTAAAAAGAGTAAAGAATTTTTCACAAGTGAATTTTTGACTATTCCATTCTGGTGATGATATATTTAATGAACTGGTCATTTGAAGGGAAATTGAGTTTGTATTGATTGGTGGTGGGGATAAGGTTGGATGATAATATTGATTTTGTTGTTGTTGTAGGTTTTGACATTGTTGATATTGATATTGTTGAAGAGATTGATTAGATGGATTAAAGTAGTCGATGGTTTCAAAGAGAAGCTTTTCAGTTTCAACAAATTTGTTAGTGAGTGATTTTAATGATTTATTTGCATTTTCAAGGAATATGGGTACTACAATAAGGTATGGGTCATCTTGATCGGTTGTTGAAATTATTTCTTCAGCCATATGTTTTACCTCTATAAATTCATATGAAAGTTTTGCTAATTGACTGCCCATTTCTGTGAAATTAATTAACGATGCTTGTGGTACATGTGATAGTTCATTATGAATTGTTGTATTTTGAGTTCTTAAAACGGTTTGATAAAGTGTTTTAATTGCAAAGTCAAGTAATGAACCACTATTTGTATTGTCTTTTAATTCTATCATTTTGCTTATTGATTCTAAATTAAAACCATCGCACTGACCTCTATAGGGGTGACCACCGTTTAAATAATTGCCCAATGATAATAGTAGTGAGAACAAAAAATTGATGGTTTGACTTGATCGTAATTCTTTTGATGCAATTGATACGGTATCAACAGCTTCATCTATGATTCTAAGAAGTTCATCAAACTTTAATAAATATTCCCATGTTTTTAAACGATGCTTAATCTTTGGGAAGCCATCTATCATTAAACACCATCTTTCGGGTTTATCTAAAATAACATCATTTGAATGCAATTCATGAATTGATGCCAACTCTTCTGGTGTTGGGAAATTTGACAAAATATTATTGATATTTTCTAAACTTAATTTATTTGAATCTAGTTGTCTAATTGCTTTTATTAAACTTTCATCTGGTAGAATTTTACCACACAAAACTGTTATGGCATTTGATCTTTTTTGAGACAATACTGATATTACTCTTTGAATTGGTCTTGATTTAGTTGGGCCGCTTATACTAGAACTGCCAAAAGTTGGTGATACATTATATGATACTATTCTTTCGGTATATAATGAGAACAAATCAATAAACAATTCTTCTTCAAATTTAACCTCTGGTAAAAATGAGTTCCATATTGTTTTTTTTTCACTACTTAAAATGAAAAAATATAAAAAAAAAAATCAGTATTTTATTTTAAAAATATTAAAATTTTTTTAAATATGAAATAACTTACAATTGTCCATTTAATACTCTTGTCCAATGTAATGGTTTCATTCTTTTTTGTGGATTAATTGGTGGTTTGGATGGTTGAATTTTGGATTTAATTTGTTCATTAAGTTGATTATTATTTTGGATGGGTGATAAATTAACCTCTTTTTCATTAGTTGGTTGGGGTGGTGAAGATTCTTGTTTTTGTTGGTTCATGGCATTCATATGACTTGAAATTGTAATTGGTGATAGTAAAAAAGAGTGAGCTGGTTTAGGTGTTGGTGTAGATTTGTTAGATGTTGGTGTTGTATTTAAGGCAGTGCTATTGTTGTTATTTATATTATTATTAGAATTATTATTACTATTGCTATTAGTATTTATATTGGAGTTATCTTCCTCTTCATTTGTTTTTGATGGTTTATCTTTAATTAATAATGGTGAGTTTTGTTGTGATTGTTGCTGTGGATGAACTTTTTGTTGAAAATGTTGTTGGAGATTGATTGGTAATTGATTTGGGGTAGTAGTTGCAGATGATGATTCAAATTCATCTGATGAATCATATGTTTCATCCAAAGTGGTTTGATCAAAGAGATCAGAAGTATTTGGAGATCTTACATACATTGATTTTCTAAAAGCACTTGTAAATTTATCGTTTCTTTTTAAAAATAATAAATTTGTTGGTGTATCTCCAACTATTTCCATTTTTTTTGCAGTATATTCATCATATCTTTCAGTTGGTGCTCTATAGTTTATATATGAACCATTTTCAATTGCTGATTTGATAGCGTTTCTTAGGAATTTTAATTCCATAGTTAATAGATGAACTAATGGTTGTTGTTCTCTAAATTGATGCAATTGATATTCCAACTCTTGATTCGATAGTTGTCTTGTTAGAGTTCTTTTTCGACCACAGCCATCAATCCCAAAGCCAGAGTTTGTTTGAAATCTTGCAATTTGGGTTCTAAAGTCTGAATGTGTTACATGTTCTTGTGATTTTAATATTTTAACTATACCAAGGGTTTGCCATCTAGATAAAAGCTTTTCATTTTTTCTGGGATTTGGTGCATTATCCAAAAGACAGTTGAATAGGGTTAATGTATTTAATTGAGTCTCCATATCACCGCTTGCAAGAAGAGCAATTAATATACTATAGGGAGGAGTACCTGTTTCCAATGCATAGTTCTTTGAGGCTCTATGCACTAAATTGAAACCATCGAAATTACACACACAAAATAACAGCTCTAAAGCTTGTCTACATACACTTGGTAAAATTCCTGATGTACAAACCAACGCATACAATCTATCTATTAAATGGGGTCTACCCATAACCTCTTCAAGACCACTATTATAACCCATAAAGCAACGGAGGGCGGTTAAAGCATATGATTGTGTATTGCCTCTGCTCCTTATGATTACTGCCAATAAATGGTTGATACCTCCTTTTGCGATAAACTCTTCGACATATTCTACATCTTTCATTTGGTAACGTATATTGAAAATTGTATCTTTGATCGATGATGAGTTTGAATCTTTTAAAATCTCTACAACACGGTCTGCAATAGCAATTGGTTTCATTCTGAGGATAAAATAGCTTTTCTCTGCTTCCACTAACTTCTCGGGTGTTAAAAATAAATCTTCAACATAGGTTAATGTATTTGGGTTTTGTAATGCATAGCTTGATACTTTATCTATTGGTATTTTGAAATGTGCGAGTAATACCTTAATATGATCTTTAACTGCTGTTTCTCCATCAAAAATATGTGATACTGTTGGTCCTTGATGACTACCACTTGATCTGTGTTCATTTCCATTTATTAATTCTACTTTAATTTTCATTTTTTATTTATTTGATTAGATTTATTATTATTTCAACTATTATTTATATTAAGTTATTATTGCTATTATAATTAATTATTAATTTATTACTTTTAAGGGTAATGGGTATTAAAAAAAAAACTATTTAAAAATAAAAAATAATGAAAATATTTTTTTTTTTTTTTGGTGGGAATAGTGCAATATTTGTTTTTTTAATAATTAAAAAAAACTACTATTATTATTAAACTATTATTATAAATACTGATATATGAATATATTAATTAAAATTAATATTAGTTATAAATAAAATTGTTTATTTTATTTCAACACTACAGTGTTGTTTTAATGATGATATATTATTTGAGAGAATGTTTTTTATTTTTTTTTTTCTTTTTTTCTTTTATTATTATTAATATTAAAAATAAATTATTATTATTATTATTTTAATTATTTTTATAATTATTTTTTTTTGTAACAAACTGAGGTATTGTTGTTCAAAAGGATTATTGAATTAAAATAAAAAAAGAAACTATTATTTAATTATTTAATATATATTAGGAAGTATACATAAAAAAATTGTTTTGAGTGAATAATATATATAGTATAATATATGTAATAATAATTAAAAAATTATAATAAATTCAATTAAAAAAAAAGAAATTAAAAAAAAAAACCCAAAATAACACATATTATAATTGAAAAAAATAATAAAAATAAAAAATAATTTAAATTGAATTAAATAAATCAAAACAATATAAACAGGGGGGAAACTAAAAATACAGCACAATATTAAAACAAACACACACACACACACACACAACACACACACATTCTCAAAAAATAAATAAAAAAAATGATAAAAAAAAATCCCCACACAAAAAAGAAAAAAATTAATAACAATATAAATGAAACCCACCACTAAATTATTTTTTTGGAATTGATTGAATAAATAAATAAATTAATTTTTTTTTATTGTTAATTACACTACTGAGAAATTATTAAGTTGTTGGTTATTTATTAATTAGGATTGTTATAACAATAGGAGTGAGTGTATTTTTTTGAATTAATCAATTTCTTTATTTATTTTATTATAATATTTTTGATGATTGTGATATATTTATAACTATATTTGTATTTTTTATAGATTTATTAAATTGAATATATGAATGATAAATAAATTATATAATAATTATAAATACTGTTATTGTGTGAGAGTCTAATAGTAATTAATTGCTATTTAAATATATGAATCGACAAATTTTTTTTCTTTTTTTGTAAATGATATGGTTTTATTGAATTAGTTTTTATATAATTAATTTCCATTTATGAAATGGGTGGGTGGGGCATAGATAAATAGAGTTTGTTATATTAATGTTTAAATTAGAGGATAAAAGGGGGTGATATAATGATTATAATTTGTATATCAACATTATTGCTATTATTATTGTTGTTGTTTGATGATTATTATTGTATAATTATGATAGTTTTATAATAATTATTATTTATTATAATTTATTTTGGTTGTTGTTTTTCTTTTAATTTCTGTTTTAATAAGGCTAGTTTTTTTTGTTTATTTATTAAATCTAATCTATCCTGCTGTTCTTTATTTTGATTTTCTTTCTCTAATTGTGCCTTGGCCCTATTTTGTCTGGTTAACTCCTCTTCTCTTTTCATTTGTTCAATTTTGTTTAGTTTTTTAATTTCTTCCAACTCTTCAATATTGTCGTCTTCATTTAGTTCATTCCTGATATCCTCTTCCCATAACTTTCTTTTCTTTTCTCTTTCAAAATCAGGATGATACATATTAGTTGGTATTATTCTTTTATTATTATTATTATCATTATTTGATTCGTCTTCCTTTTTTCTTTGAAAATCAATTAGTTGGTTTTCATTATCCTCTCTTCTTTCCTCATCACTATCACTGTCATTATCATCTGTTCTTTTATTTACTATATTAAAAACTGTTAATAAAAAAGTAATATATAATATAAAAATAAAAAAATAAAAAAATTTAAAAATAAAGTGTTAAACTTACAAAGTTTGTTATAAAGTTTAGATTTTATTAACAAAGAGTTATGACTCTTTTCTAATGCATTTTGACCCCTTGAACTATTTTCAAATTCAATATCTTTTTCATTTCTTTGATTAACACCCTTATTTAGTTTATTATCCAAAGTAACATCACCATCTTGATTTAGTCTCATGGACTTTACTGGCTTTGAATGGGTTATTCCTTGTTCTTTAATTAATTGCTCTTCATTTGAAACTATTGACTTTAATGTTAAAATCTAAAAAAATATAATTTATAAATTAGAATTATGTTATAAAGTTAATAAATTATCTTTAACTTACAGAAGATGATGAAACCCCTTCTATCGTTTTCTCTTTTTTCCACATATTACATTGAATTCTTTAGAGACACCAAGGTTGTAAATAAAATAAGGATTATTTTTCAAAAAAAAAAATTAAAAAAAAAAAAAAAAAAAATTAAAATAATTTAAAATTTATAAAAAAAATAATTTTTTTTGGTGTTTATATCTACAAAAATTAATTTAAAATAAATAATGAAATCGCAATTTAATTATTTTTATTTTTAATTTTATATTTATATTTATATTTATAATTTTTTATTTTTTTCCTATTATAAAAAAAATAAAATAAAATATATAACAATTATTTTAATTACACAAATAGTTGTATAAAAATAAATAAAAAATGATAACAGGAGCAAAATGGTTTTGGAATGGATTAATGAATTATACCTCCAGAGCTTATAATAAAAAGAAAGAACATTTCAACGAGAATGATTTGGTTCAAGATATTTCAAATAAACACTTTATAGTAACAGGTGCCAATAGTGGAATAGGTTATGAAACCTCAGTTCAATTATCAAGTAAATATAGATATATTCGTATCTATTTCTTTATTTAATTTATTAATATTTTTTTTGTTTTTATTATTAGAAAGAGGAGGTAATGTCCATTTAGTATGTAGAAGTAAAGAAAAGGGGGAAAAAGCTTTAATGGAAATTAAAGAGAAAACCAATTCAGATAAAGTTCATTTACATGTTTGCGATATATCATTAATTAATGATATAAAGTCTTTTGTTCAGCAATGGAAAGACAATGGAAATCAAAGAGTTGATGTTCTAATCCACAATGCGGGTGTAATGAATAAAGAAAGAGAGGAAACCTCGGAAGGAATAGAGAAAACATTTGCAACTAACATATTAGCCCCTTTTTTATTAACAGAATTATTGGTTATAAGAAACGATATGGCCAACAATGGGACCAGTAATGAAAAGAAAAGGGTTATATTTGTTACATCAGCTGGTATGCTTACTCAAAAGATGAATTGTGATTTTCAATTTAATAACGTTAAAGAAGGAAAACAAAAATGGGATGGTATGTTAGCATATGCTCAAACTAAAAGAGAAATGGTTTACCTCACGGAATTATTTGCTGAAAAAAATAAAGATATTAACTTTTATACTATGCATCCATGTTGGACCAATACTGAAGGTAAATAATTTAATTTATTTAAATATAAAATATAATAACTAAAATATATATTTACAACTTTATTTAGGTTTAACTAAATCAATGCCAATGTTTAACAAGTTGGTTGGATCTCAACTTAGAACTCCAGAAGAAGGTGCCGATACAATTGTATGGCTATCAATGTCTCCAACCGTTGAAAATAACTCATCTGGTCTTTTCTTTGAAGATCGTCATTCAGTCGACAAATACATTCATAACTCTCACACAGAATCTCCCAAAGAAGATGTTGACAAATTATGGAATTATTTAAATGATTTTTTAAATAAATAAAAACAAATAAAAAAAATAATTAAAACTTTTTGTATATACTAGTTATAAACTCTATAATAGATAGAACTTATAAAAAAAATATTTTATTTGTTTTTTTTTTTTTTTTTGAATTAAACTTAAATATCAAAATATATTATTTAGTTTATTACTGTTTTTAATTTTATACTATTATACTATTGCTTTGTTATTACTATTCTATTATTATTATTTATTATATTATATTATATTATTTTTTTTTTTGTTTTATATTTTATATTTTTTATTTGTTATATTTTTTATTATTTTATCTTTTTTATTATATTTTAATTTTCCGATTTTTTTATTTTTTTATTATTTATTGTTGTTCGTGAATACTGTTTGATAATGGAGAACTACTGGAGGAGTGGGTATTTGAATTTGTTGATGAATTAAATTCTCTTTTCTTTTTGGCAGTTTCTATCAATTTATCCCATTTTTTCTTTTGAGATTCAATAATTTTATCTTTTTCCTCAAGTTGTTCTTTTAAGAGTTTGATTTCATTCATTAAACCGCTGTTGTTTGTAAATGCACTATTATTACTTTCTAAAGTTGATAGGTTTGTTTGGTAAAAAGAAGCTGAAGTTTTGGTTGGAAGACTAACAGATTGGTTGATGTCGTGGGATGGTGAAATTGAATGTGATAGTCTGTTATTGTATCTTTGCTGAGTTGAAACTGAATCTTTACTTTGTCTAATAGCATTTGTTTTTTTCTCGATTTCAATTCTGAATTGCATAATTCTATCTTTTAAAAATTCATTTTCTTGTTTAAGATTTTTGTTCTCTTCCAATAATGTTTCAACTGTGTGATTGACCAAATCTATTTCAACTTGTTTAAGTTTTGATGCCAAGTCATTGTCCAAACTATTATTTAAATTATTTTTGATATTATTATTGTTGTAACTATTGCTTTTTTGGTTTGGGGAAGATGATGGTCTATAGTTATTATTTTCATCATCTTCGTTTATAATATTTAATAATTTATTATTATTAGGGTTATTATTACTATTGTTGTTATTATTGCTATTATAGTTGCCATTACTATAATTATTTGTAATGTTATTGCTTGTATTAGTGTTTGGTAATCTTTTTGAGGGATCAACAATAAAAAATGAATTTATTAATGATTTTTCATCTGTACTTTTATTTCTTTGGTGAACTTGATGATTGTTGCTGTATTTATTTAGTCCAAAAACATTTGGTTTTGGTAAAATATCTAATAATTTTTCAATACCAAACCAAAAGGTTGAATGTGGTGATGAACCAAAGTTTGATGGTAAGCTACTGGATTCTTGATGAAATCTTGGTTTGCCATTCTCTGGATAAATATAATATCCCCCTTGCAAAATTGAGTTTGAAAATCCATTGTCATATATACTATCTTCAAGGGTACTATCGTTAATATAGTTTACAAGTCTATTTGGTGAGATTTGTGATAAATCAGTTGTACTATCTGACATACTATTATAACTATTTGAATAACTGCCAACATTATTATTATTTGTGTTATTTGAACCATTATTATTATTATTATTACTATTATTATTATTATTATTGTTGAGATTTAAATCATTATTATTTACATTATTGCTTATGTTAATTGGATTACTGGAACTTAAATTGTAGTTATAGTTTTCATTATAACTATTATTAAAACCAATGTTATAGTTTGTATTATTATTATTATTGTTATTATTTATATTATTTTTATTGTTCATATTTATATTATTATACATATTGAAATTATTATTAAAATTTATATTATTATTTTCTAAAGTATTGATATTACTGTTATTATCATTATATATTAAAAGATGAGGTGTTGTATCATCATTATCTTCGTCGTTGAAATTATTAATATTATTGTTTGTATTTATATTTTTTAAATTATTTAATTTTGAATTCCGTAAGTCATTTGATTTTTTAAAATGATTCTGTGAAAGAACTCTAAGCGCTGATATAGTTTGTTGATTATTTGTTTGTTTAATCGCCAAGGTGAAATAGTTTGATGCTTGAGTATGGTATTCAACAGCATCTTCTATTAAACCCAATTGTTCTGATTCTTGTGCTTTTTTGACAAGTGAATGCGCTTTTAAAATATATGATATATCTTGGCTCGATGATAATTCACTCATTTTTATATTATTATTATTATTATTGATATATTTTACAAAAATTATTATATATTATATTATTATATTATATTATTTATTTAATATTATATTTATATTATTATTATTAAATTGTATTTATATTATATTTATTATTTACAAAAAAAAAAAAAAAAAAAAAAACAAAAAGGAAAATTTTAAAAAAAAAAAAAAAAAAAATTTATATTGCAATTGAAATTTAATGGTGTTTGGAAATTTAAATTAATACCTGTTATTGGGGGTTATTATAATTTTTGGGGGAAATTTTTTGGTCTAAATTAATAATGAACCAAAATTTAAAAAAAAAATTAATTTTTTTTAAACAAAGGAAAAAAAAAATAAAAAAAAAAAAAAATAAAAAAAAATTTTTTTTTTTTTAATTTTTTTTTTTTTCATTTTTTGAAATCAATAAATTATTTATTTTTCAATTATTTATTTTTAATTTATTAAATTATTGAATTATTCAATTATTTATTTTTTAACTAATAAAGGATTGGGGGAAAAAACCTGGATTTTTATTTTAATTTTGAAAAAAAAAAAATTTTCCTTTTTTCCAATTAAAAAACCCCTAATTCCAAAATTAAAAAAATAATTTTTTGGGGGAGAAGGGGGGCCCCC